TGGGTGGTGTGTCCCCCCCCCCCCCCCCCCCCCCCCCAAATTAAACTTAGAAGAGTCAAATTAGGGGGATAGTGTTGGTTTCCGAAACGATTTTAGATGTGGAAGTGTATATTTAGCGGATCGTGTATAACAAAAATTTTCATAAAAATTTTGAGATACTCTATAGATTACATTAATTTATGCCCAAATAAATTAATCAAATTTATTTATTTACGTAGCGGACGATTATGACAATAACTTAATTTCTTTGACCTCGAACGTTCTTTTCTCCAAGCTGGTTTAGAACACTCAAATTTTCCTCGTCAATTCCTTAAATCTACGAAAACGTGTGTGTTGACACACTTGAAATAAAACGAGATTAACAAATAAACACTCAAGTTTTTCACGAATACTAACACATGCACGACGTGAAATTTTTGGAGAAAATTTTTCCTTTCCACACACTCTATAATTCGGCCACTATATCTAGTAGAGAGAAAAAATTGTGTCTGCAATCTCTTATTTATGGAGTAGTCGTTAGACTTAAAGATGAAGTCTAATATTTATCTCCAAGATAAAGCTTGATAATTATCTCTCACTTCTAATTTGATTTTGAACAAAATCCACTCTTCCTTATCCATATGTTGGCCAGTCATTACAGAGAGATTCATCCATGTGGTAGGCGCATACTGTAGGAAAAGAATATGGTAAAATTATGCATTTATTCTGCAGTCTAATTTTGACTCAAATGTAAATTCCAATTTAAGTCAAACGTAAATCAATTTGAATTTCAAATTGGACAACTTATTAAATACGTCAATTAGATAACTTGGAGAACAAGCAGCTGAATTCCAAAGGGATTCACACTGTGCTATGCGTTCACACCATGTGTGTTCAAAATTCAAATTTAAATTTAAATAATCACATTATTTACTTTTTAATTAATTCTCAATTAATTATCTTTGAGCGTTTTATTTTAGAATTTCATAATTCTAAAATTTCATTTTTGCCCTTAGTGTCTTGTAGAATTACAAAGACGATACGGGAACTCATGAACCTATAATTCTGAGCTATAATAACTAATTAATTCTATTAATTTCAAAAGTTACTCCACTATAAACTTGAAATTGTACTCTCATAATTATAGACATAAATTACTTCTAAACTGTGAAGTGTCCATTTGATATAGTCATTACATATAGATCAATCCTCCATAAATAATTTATAATTAGATCTATGTGAAATCTGTTAACTTCTCTAATTACATCTTTATCCTTGCGTACCATTGATTCATAAAACAAATTCATGAATCGGAGTTTCTACTAGTCCAAGTATTGAATCAGTACTCAAGAGAATTATTTATCTACTTCTTTCTCAAGAAGGAATTCCATCTCGAATAATAACATTTTCGGTTACTAATTTCATCATGTCTCCAAAATACAAAGAATAAGATTCATGATCTCAAAATTCGTACCGAATAAATTAAAACACATAAATCCATAAATAGAAGTATGCTAATAACTCAGGATTAAGATCATTTTATATATGATCATCGGTAGACTCAATTAAAATTTTTATACTTAACAGATTTTATCAAAAATTCACATTATTTCTATATCCATGTTCCACATAATCTATGCGTAATACACTCATTCAATATATGCCCATATTAACAGTACAGATAACACCGTTTCATTCTAAATGAAAATAACATGTATTAGTAATGCTTTAATTAAAAATTTTAAGTTTTAATTAAATTTATTATGAACATTGTTTTAATTATTATCCTTAAATATTATCTTCTCATATATAATATTTAAAATCATATAAATAATTATAAAATTTTGAGTGATATTCATAAAACATTCAATAATATATACACATAAAATAAACTTTTTATTAAATAAATAATAAATATATCATGTTTACACTATTTTCAACAGGTAGGTCCAAGTTTCGTCGTGAAATTCACCTCTGTTCACCGCCGCTGCCACTTGCCGCCACACGAGCCGCCATCGCCGGAGATGTGGAGTTCACCGGACTTTGTTCACATGCACAGAGAAAGGACTTTCATCTTCAACATAACGTCATAACAGCCGCCCAAGCGCCACCGTCCCCTCGACCGCCGACCACAACCTCACCTTCCCGGATGACACCGCCTCATCCAACGAGATCAGAAACGTCTGATCCCCTAGATCCCTTTGTCATTCTTTCGAATCTTGGATGGAATCGCGCCGAGCGCCACCACAAATCCGAGAACAACCAACTTTGAGTCCCTCCGTCTGTTGTGAGTCGTCACTCACAGCCACTGCCAATTGCTTCATAGAGATCTCACGATGGCGCAAACAATCCCCTTGCCTCTCAATCCACGTCCTTCATGGAATCTGGGTCTCTCTGGTGCCCTCGCTGGAATATGGGTTGCAACGGAAAATGTTGTTTTGTATCGTAAAATTAATCTGCGTTTTAAAACTAATTTTTGAATTATTGAAAGTTCATTTTTTTTAGGGAAAAGGATTGTGAAATTTTTGTTATTAGTTTGGTATTTATGAAATCAATTTGTATATTTGTTGGAAATTCGTATGATTCTAATAATGGGTTAATTTTGTAATTAATATGATGTGCTTCTCACATTTAGGAGCTTGATTGAAGATTCTTCTTCTTCTTTTTTCTTTTACTTTGTTGGTGTTTCTCTCTATTTTTGTATTGATAAAACTATATATAGCTTCTGGGTATTCTCTGATTCTTTGAGAAACTTGTGATTTTGGAATCATCAGCCGTGAGTTCGTTTCCAAAGTTCATAAAATGGAGGCTCGAGTTCACCATCACCGTGGATCTTCATCGGGGAAGCTTGATGTTGGTGATGCGAAATATCTAGCTCAATTGTTCTATTTGAATTTAGGGATTCAATAATGAGAACATTATTTGCCACAAAAAATCAAATGTTGCTGAATGAGATCACTGCTCCATTATTTCTCTTTTTTGATTTGGAAAAAAAAAAGAGAAAAGAAAAGAAAAATTAGAGCTGAGAGTCAGAGAGCATATGGGAGAAAGAAGATGGAGTAATATGGATTACAATCCCCTGCTATCAATTCTACTGAGTCTCCTCTAATAATTGGGACCCACCACAAATCTGACCACACATAACCATTCGATTTTACTCTTACCGGTAGGAGAAAAAAGCTCCCCCTACCCGAAATGTCCTGTTTCTAATACTTTTGAATGCATAAACAATAAAAAGATCCATAAATAAATAAATTTAATAAAAAACTTCGTATATATTACATTTTTTAATACCAAAAGTAATTTCTATAAGGTTTAGAATGTGGTCGGAATTCGATATTGATTCAAATAATATTGATATCATGACATGTAATTTTAATAATGTTAAATATAGTTATGAATATGCCACATGTAAGTTTATTAATCTCTTCTCACTATATTTTCATTGATTGGAAATTGTAAATTCTTCTAATTGTTTGCCTGAGATGCGTGTGTTCGGATGAAGATGATTAAAAATTTTATATTCATTATAGTTTCTAAAATTATAATTATATAGATAATGAACGCGAGAAGTTTCATTATAAAAGCTACTATAGAGCAAATTTTTTAAAAAAAATTAGAATTTCCGTTTTTAAAATTTCTCTAAAATTTCTTCGAAATTTTCTAAAATTCTACCTCAATTACACTATATGCGAAATAATATCGATATTAGACCGATAGTTACTGAAATTTCAAAAAAAATTTTGATATTTTGCCGAAATCAATATTATGATGAAAAAAAATTAGCACCTTCAAAAATCTGAAATTTTCACAAAAAATTTAAGATATTTCGACGATATTTCTGATTATGTTTATAAGTTGTCACCTTATTGGTTCTTTAAAAGTATTGTCCTTTTATCGGTTCTTTAAAGGTATTGTCATCTTATCGGTTTTTTAAAGGTGTTGTCCTCTTCTCCCTTATAATTCATTTTTGTTTGAGGCGGCTAATATCGTTTTCCGTAATTAAGTTTATTTATTCTATCCGTTTTTGAATAATGTGGTTTTTTTAATTCAATTGAACTTCTTGTCTTTACAAATAAGGTCTCTAAGTGTTGACTAATGTGCTTTCACATATTTTTACCCTACAAAATTTATCGTTGTATTAATTTATGATGTTATTGTTGTCTCATCAATGTAAGGTCGTTTCTTTAGGTAACACATTAAAGTGACATTTAAAGGATTTTTGAACCCACATCAGAACTAATGTTTGAACCCAAATTCAAACCCCATAGTTGAAAATCCACATAGTTTAAACCCAAAGTTCAAACTCAGCATGATTTAAACTCTTTACTAAAGAAATCGTTTATTTTAAGAATATTTTTTGAGAATTTATTTTAAGAATTTTTCAGAAAACACTTAACCATGCAAGCCATCTTAAGATGTTGCGTCTTCCCGTTCAAAAAAAAAAAAAAAAAAATTGTCTTAAACCAGCTGTTATTTTGAAACCATGCAGTTTTTATAAATAATCTTAAAAGTTAAAACCATAGCCTACTAAAAAGTTGAAGACGACAGAATAATAATTTGTTGAAAGTAATTATTTTATGCCGTCGAAGACTATACTTGGGGGGAAAAAAATCTACATTTCATCTTCAACCGGCTATCGATGAAAGCCGAAAAAACCATGAAATCACAAGTCATAATTTATACAGTCGAAGACGATACTTGGAGGGGAAAAAAAAATCTACATTTCATCTTCAACTGCGCATAAAAAAAAAAGAAAAAAAGAAATCACTGGTGCATAATTTACAAAAGAAGCATGAATCTCGACAAACGTTTTGGGAAGACACGCCTAGTCTAAATCCCAAACCTGCAAAATCAAAGGGAAAACAAATAAAAATGTTGAAAAAGTAAATAAGTAAAAATCCTTTTCCATTGTAACTTTAAGACCGATCTGTAACCTGAATTTTGCCATCAGAGTAGCCAGCATACAGCATTCCTCCATCCATATCTGACGTCAAAGAAGTAATCTTTGTATGTCCTCCACAACTCATTTTGATGGAAGCCACTCTTGTGAATCTCTCTCTTAACCAAACCTCAATGCTTCCACATTTTGTGGCAGTAAATATCAAGTCATTGTTGATGGCCACCCGTTGGATGTCAAACCCAGTTGGGAATGATCCTATTATTGCCTTTGTTGAGAGCAAGAATATCTTCTCAAATTATTGCAATTAAGCCCCAAAAAAAGTCAGTTTACACATTAAAGAGTTGCCACTAACTTCCACTTCACATTGAAAAAAAAAAAGGTGAAAGTTACCTTTCCTGCGGTTCCATCAACTGAAGAACCAGTTGCAAAGAGAACGCCATCATGAATTTGAAGGGAATATATGGTTTGTTTCCCCAACAATTTTCTTGTACCAGAATAGAAGGTATGAGATGTATATGAGCATAAATCCACCTCCTGATCTCAAGGCAGGCGACAAAATCAATTATTAGATTAGTTCTGCAAATATAAGGTTGACCAAATTTACTTCTTGTGGAAAGTTTGAAGAGAATAACTTTTACCTGGATGCTGTAACCGGAGCAACCACAATATAGTTTATTCCCTGTCATCGCCAGGCACTTCACGTACTTGTTGAAGTTGATATGTTTTGGAGATCCAGACCAATAATAAACCTGTGACCACATAAAATAACCTTGGGAAGTCAGTATATTTGATTTTGAGGTTTTATGTGTAAAAACAAGAATTAAGTGCAATGCTTGCCTTAATTCCTGTTCCTTGAGATATAAAGCAGGCAACTTTGGTATTGGCTGCCAAGTCAAATACTGCTTCTTTCACGTCATGGACTTGAACACAGTGGATTTCATCTGCTTTGACTGCCCATACCTACAATTAAGGGATCAATTAGTATCTAAACTAATGTTTTCTTCCCCCCCTCCCCCTCTTTTTCATCGTAGAAACAAGAATATGAAGAGTGAAAAGGAAATGCGGCAAACTAATGTTTTCTTCCCCCCTCTCTTTTTCATCGTAGAAACAAGAATATGAAGAGTGAAAAGGAAATGCGGGCACAAGATTGGCTTACCCGAATTGTTTTGTCTGAGGAACCACTGTATAGTTTGTCGCCTGAAGATGAAGCATAGAGACATGTGACAGCCTTTGAGTGCTCACGAACCTCTTGAATCAACCTTGGCACCCGCTTCCCAGAATCCCAAACCTAGAAGAAATAAATTTAGAATCGCTGCTTTTGGGCAAGGTAATAGACAATGCTATATAGTTAAGTCATAGACAATGCTATATAGTTAAGTCCAAACCTTTATGGTTCCGTCGGAATGGCTGCTTAAGATCCGACCTCTTAAATGAATCAAAGACAGAACCTCTCCATTCGTAGATGAGTCTGATTCAACTAGTTCAGTACAACTCCACAACTCTGTCTAAATTGTAGTAAAACATAAAGAATAATCAGTCATCTCTCTCTAAACATGACTTAATTTTAATAGCTTATATCCCTTCTCATACTTACTGCATCCACAGATGGAAGGTTCATCAATGTTTTCATTATGTCAGCAACCACCACTGAATTCTTCTTGAGCTTTCTCAATGTTCTGTAGATGCATTTAGCATACGCTCCCATTGCTTTAGCTGCATCTGAAAATTGGATTTGGAGTTCAACTACTATTGAACATACCTTACAACTTATGAAACTTTAGTTTTTCTAGGCTAAACTTACCTCGGTCACTAATGAAAGTTTTCAAAGCCAAAGTTGCCAAAATCTTCTCCTCCTGATTCTTAGATGATTGGAGAACATTTATGAATTCATCAAGCAATGACTTCCTGGCAGCACTTTTAACACCAGTATCAGGGATTATAGAAAGCATGTATGTGAGCCATGTGGCAACGACAAGACATGCTTTTGCCATTTCTAATGAACTACTCCTTAGACATTCCTCTAAAGCTTTAAAAATAGATCCTCTTTCGTGGTTGCAAAGTACTAAAGCAACCCTCTTCTCCCAAGTGCTTATAGCTTTCTCTTCTTCTTCCTGTATATGGAAGTGAGAGATCAATATGCGCACCAATTGGGACGGGAATTGGAAAGTCTTTTAAAAGAGTAAATAAATTAAAGAAGCACTAACTATTGTTTCCATCAAATCACTGTCGTGTTTTTTCAGCTGCTCTGCCTTCATTAAAGCATTGTAAGGTTGATCAAACCCGGCAGTTTTGAGTAACCAGGCCTCAGTATATGAATCCCCGGAGGAGGTAATACGACCAATAAGAGATGACAAGGCATCGATTGCCAGTATCTGAGAATTAGAGAAGTGCTTCCTCCGAAGTGCTTCAGTTAGCGCTTCTATAGCTTCTTCCCTATAAAGGCTCATCTTCCGTGGCTCAACCTGGAAAAGTGACAGTCATAACCCATGCTTAGACGGCCTAGAAATCTTTTTTGACATACGAATTTATAATTATTATTGTTTCATGATTTAAAGGAAAACAGAAACCAGGAGATCAAGCTGAAGAAGAAGACTAGCAATGGCAGGTTGTTGTTCCATAGGCGCCATTTGAAGGTACACAAGGAGCATATGCATGGAGCTAAATGCTCCTTCGTCTTTAATTGTCTGCAATATCTGATTCGAGAATGTTCTCCTGCAGAAAGACAAGATTGTCATATTACCGGATAAACAAACATACATGAAACATGATGACTATATTTTCTAAATATTATAGTAAGCAAATAATGTGATCTCTGACTAAATAAGATCCCAATATGATAACGTCCTATCTCAAGTATGTTCTCACACAACTTATGGCTTAAAAAAAAAAAAAAGGTTGTCATCAAAACAGAATTTAGTGGTGTAGTTGAACTATTGAAGTTTCATATTTTTGACACAAATAAGAAAAACCAACAAAAGAATGCAAAAAACCTAATATATGCATACAACTAGCAGTTAGATTGGATGCCAAAATCAGAGCTTCCCTAATTCCTAAGGTCTAAGAATTTGAGGCAAAATTTAATTTCAACTAGAATCACTGCTTCTCGAAGAAAATAAAACAAAGAAAAAAAAAGAATGCTATATTAAAAGAGAACACTTGAACTGTCAATTGTACTTCCTAAGGTCTAAGAATTTGAGGCAAAATTTAATTTCAACTAGAATCACTGCTTCTCGAAGAAAATAAAACAAAGAAAAAAAAAAGAATGCTATATTAAAAGAGAACACTTGAACTGTCAATTGTAACAGCAAGAAGTAGAGACTTCTATCATATGAACCTAAATTAAGACTGGTACCTACTCAACCGAACAAGCTCCGAAAGAAATCCTATACATATGCCTCTCACAGAATCGTTCCCGCCATGAAATAATTCCAGAACAGGAGACAGTTCAATTCTGTTTGCTATTAAATTCCGGCAACCTTTTTCAGCTTGCATGCAGCACAAAAGTATGGAAACAACAGAAGTTCTTCCTTCTACCCTATTCAAAACTTTGGCCAATGCAGGAATTCCATTTGCAGAAATGACACTCAAGGCATTGATGCATCTGCTATTTTCATCTCCTCCAACCAAAATCTGTTCAAGCATTGCTATAGCAGCATCTTTAGGCTCCATAACAAATTGAAGATCATCCAACTCCTCATGTTTGTTTTGCATTAACTGGACAAGGAAAGGTACAAGATCATGAGCTGAAAACTGAGACAAAGCCGGTCTAAGCTGGTATATAAGAATCGCAGCCTCAGCTAAGCCATTCTTCAGCAAAGCAGCCAGGCAATCAAGATCAGAATCTACACTAGTGAGAATTTCCCCAACATTTTCATCTGCAGATATCAACTCAGAGAGAATGTATATTGAGGTCCTCAGAACGTTTATATTCAGAGAAGCGGACAGTATTTCTACAAAGCCATTTACAATGGTAGGCTCAGATAAACAAGAACGAACACCAGGATCACCCTTTGAGTCTTTCCATGGTCTGGATATTGCCAACACAGCTGTTTCACACTCTTGTAAGTTCTCTGAAGTGCAAAGACATGAAATGTGAGGTTTTAGACCGTTGATGATTTTTTCAACTTCAGCTTGAGATATCACACTTGTTGGGGATGTAGATAAGGCTGCTTGTGTAAGTCTTTTGTTTCTATGGTTGTTGGTATATTCATCACTGCTCCTATGAGAGGAGAAATCAAATGTTCTACATGGAGTGGAGGCCACGGAAGTATCTCTTGTGAAGTGACAGTATTGATTATCCCTAGGTGTTTCGGAGCATTGAGATTCAACAGGGAGATCAGGAAGTTGCTCTTTCCAAGATATTATGAGTCTCTTCAAAACATAGTTTGTTTTGGGCAGTTTATTTGAAGACAGGGGTTGTCGTGTAATGGGACATGTTATGTTTCCTCTTTTCAGCCATTCCTGAATAGCTTTCCTCTCGTATGTTTGACCCGTTTCAAGGGTAACTGGGTCACAGAAGATCTGACCTGTGATAGGGCAAACAAAATCCTTCAGCGGTCTCGATTTAGAAGTCGGCTTCTCAGATAATGGGAATGAAATGCAGCTCTGGCTTCCTTCATAATCCTCATTAATAGAACTGCAGAACTCAAAAAAAAAAAAAAAAGAAAAGGAAGAAGATATGAGTTTTGACAATGAATCTCTATTTTGAAGTGGGCTAGTTGTACAAGGCTAATTAAAAGTATAAATAAAAAAGATTTCAAACCAAGAAAAAATACAAAACAAGGTATATGCGTTACCTATTTTTACATGTTCGGTTATTAACACTTTCAAAACTATGCTTTTGACTAGAGTTTCGGCTGCAACTCTGCAAAACCTCCTGAATTGCAACGCAAGTTTCAGCTTTAGATAACACATGCAAAGAATACGGATATATATGTAATAATCATGATTAGATAACAAATTAAGCAAGTAGATTTTGAGTCATACTATTGCCTCGCCATCAGAGTCTACTGAGCTAGTGCTGTAATCGTTACTCATGGGTGGCGACACAGGCAAAGATGTGGCGGAAGCAGAATCTGTCAAGCGGACGGACTTAAGGCGCAGCAGAGTAACGGGTTCATTATTTCTACACTGCACTTCTGGTTTTGGAGATGACATGTTTGGCGGAAAAGGTTTAGGGGAACAAAAAGGAGAGAAGACTGTTGGAGAATGTATTAGAGCCTTCATCTTAGATGTTTGTACATTTTCCTCAGTTTCCTTGTCGTTTATTGTCTTGCTACTGCCAGGAGAATGTAACCTTTGAGCTTTATCATTTGAATCCATAGATGCATCATCTTGATCATAGTCAGACTCATCTTCATTCTCCTCAAGCAAGCCTTCCTGGCATAATATCCAAGAACTTCGAAAATTCACAAATCCCAAGTTTTAGAAAGTAAGGGTCCGTTTAGTTCATTGATTCGAGTTTTTAATTCGAGTTGAGATGTGACTTTATGTGAGAGTTTTTTACTGTAGCAAAAAAGTTAGATGTGATTGTTTGTGAGAGCTTTTTACTATAGAAAAATTCAAATTCTAAACTCGAATCAACGAAATGAACGGGGCCTAAATTTCAACGACTCATAACAGTTTTCAGCCATACCTGTGGATCCCACCTTGATTCCCTATTCTGTGGGGTAATGGATGTTCCACTCATTATGCTAGGACCCCTATAAAAATCCACATAAAATTTCAATTGCTTGTACTAGAAGTTAAATTGGAGACTTCTATGGCAGGGCTTGAAAAATACCCTGCCAATTCCACAAATTTTAACCATTCGAATTTCATCAATTTCATGGCTCCGTTTATTTCGCTGATTTGAATTTAGAATTCGAGTTTTATTGCAGTAAAAAGCTCTCAGAAACAGTCACATCTAACTTTTTTGCTACAGTAAAAAGCTCTCACATAATATCACATCTCAACTCGAATTAAAAACTCAAATTAGCAAACTAAACGGGCCCAATATATGATTTTAAATTCTAATATGATTTTGAGGTGATCTAACCGAAAAAAATTGTATTACTATTAGGATGATTTTATTATATCCTACCAGCGAATTGCCAAAATAAAAATGAAGACATAAATATATAATAAATGACGCGTTTAGAACTCGTTTCAAAATAATTTTATTTTTTGTATGAAAATGAAAATGAAAACGTTTTCAATCTCAGACAGAAATAATTTTTTAAAATGCGTTTGGTAAATTTATCAAGAGATTATTTCAGTGTAAAAAAACATATTAATGTCTCTCTTTCTCTCTAGAGGAGAAAACGAAAACAAAAAATGAAAAACAACAAAAAATCATTTTTCATTTTTCTCTCATTTTATACTAAATTAAAAAATTATTTTTATTTCCATTTTTTTACTTTTATTGCGTCAAACGCTATTTTAAAAACGTTTTTATTTTTTCTTTTTCAAAAAACATGATAATAAAAACAGAATCAATTTCAAACACGGTCAAACTAACCTGCTAGTTTCTCTGATACTATCCTTAGCCTTGAGAAACGGTGCAAACCCTGCACTCTTGGGCAAGACAGGACCGAATTTCACAAAATCGGGAATCGATCGGCTCACCTCATGCAAAGGAGTCATTGGCGGCTCGGCGATCGGCAACATCGGAATCACTTTCCTGCCGGTGTTCGTCGAATCGGAGTTCAAGCAATCCTTGAAGTATTTAGCATAAAGCCTTGTACTCTCATCCAACGACTCCCCAAAAAGCTGCTCCAGCTTCTGCAGTTTCTCCACCTGATCCGGTCTGAATATCAAAGATTCATTGAAGAACTGGTCCAAATCAATCGTGAAAGATAGGTCGGAAGAATCAGGAATAACTTCCATGACAAGCCTGTGCCTCTCCTCCGAGTACCACCCGGCAATCGATCCCATGTGCTGAAGAAAAAGGTCCTTCCAGAGCTCAGGAGCGAAGTCAATCCTCGAGAAGAAAGGGTCAACGATGAACATCTCCAGAACATGAATAACCGAGTTATGGACATTGTTTCGCAGTTTCCACAAGTAAGCTAGATTGAGGTGGGCCCAGGCGGAGAGGTAGAAGTTAGGGACACCGGCGGTTTTCTGGTCGGAGTTCAACATGGCGCAGACTTGTAACATCTTCTCTGCGCAAAGGTGTGAGCAAGGGTATCCCAAACCTCTTGAGTAGTGCGAGATCGAGAGATGAGCGGAACAAGAGTAGGTTCCAAGGTACCAATAAGGGCGCCAAAGAGGAGTTTGTCCTGGCGAACCCATGTAAGGTAAGCTGGATTGGGTTCGGAGACCGTTTGCTTGGTGATGGTGGCAGGGGGCGCAGGGTATCTTCTCTGCGTAGTCCAAGCGGGCGAGCTTGGTCTCCATGTTGTAGGTCTCAATGGCTTCCTCTAAGGCCTCGATTCCCCAGTCCAGGTTCGCCAACACCGCCTGATCGGAGTACCGAACCTCGCCTCGGTCTTCGCCGGAGCTTCCGTCCTCAGCCGCCAATCTCTCGGCGCACTGTTCTTTGTGTTGAGTCCTCTCTTCTTTGTTGATCAGCCGATCTCGGATGAAGCTGTCGACTGTGGTGTTCACTTGTCTCGCAATGTCCTTTTGGTCCATTGCGAACCTGTAGTTTCCAGCCATAACTTCAGCCTTGGAAAAATTGCTGTTTTCTATCTGATCATTCAAACAAGTTAATTTGTTTTTTTAGAATCTAGATTGTTTGCCGAGAAAGTTCAAGAAAACAGAAAAGAAGAAAAAAATCAACTTCAACCAAAACAATTAAACGAACAAGATATTGACTAAAATCTTGCATCAAAAGTGCAGTGCGAGAGTACTTACAGTAATGAAGAATAAGACTCTAAAGTGGAACTGAAAAGTTGAGCATTTTTATTTTATTTTATTACAGCAGTTGTGTTTCTTTTGGGGATGAGCTGCTTGAGATCGGTTTTTCCAAGCAATCAAGAGGATAGAGAGAGAAAGAGAGAGCCGGCTGTTAAGAGATGGTATAGGCGCAGATGTGCCGGCCTTTGGCTGTTGCTGAGCGATGATCAAACCAAAAACCGTAGACTCCTACATTTAAAAATCTTTGCTTCACTATTGACGCTACTACACTAGTCTTAAAATATTAATTAGGATTTTAATACTCCTTTAGCTAATGACGAGATATCATTTGCCTTTCGCCTTAGTCGCAAGCTACACAACTCTAAACTGTGAATGTTTAAGAAAGGTTGAGTTTATTTAATGATTGGTACAAGCATATATAATACATGTAAAGCTAGAAAATAATCTTAACCTAACAAACTTAGTCTAACCGTATACGAGAGATAAGGTAGAATAACAAAGAGATATATATCCTAACTAAAGATATTAACAGCTAGAATATTGTTACAACAAACTACGAGATAATAGTAAGACTAAGTCTTAGCTTTATCTTCAACCTAAACAACTCCAAACCGTATCGATTGTCTTCATCCACAATCTTCAAAAACGTACTTCACTAACTTCCTAAATTCGATCAAACAGGGTTTTGGCGGAAATGAAAAAGGGCTGCATCTTTGTCCCATCGTTCCATGAATTATGGGCCTTGTCCAATCTAGCCCATAGAAAGTTTGCTCGACAAATAACGGTATCATTTAAGATTTTTAGGTCTCATCACTAGTTTATTAAATTTCGTTTAATTTAATTGACTATTATTAATAATTTAATAAATATCACTGATTTCATCCGTAATTTAATATATTATTTAAAATTTAATAAATTATTATTTAACAAATAACGGTATCATTTAAGATTTTTAGGTCTCATCACTAGTTTATTAAATTTCGTTTAATTTAATTGACTATTATTAATAATTTAATAAATATCACTGATTTCATCCGTAATTTAATATATTATTTAAAATTTAATAAATTATTATTTAAAATTTAATTGATTATTATTAAAAGAGTAACTTATAATAGAACTGTGTTTAGAGTTTAGTGTTTACAATTTTCTCACGTGAAAAAACGATTTTTCGCTCCACACATTTGCCACTTTGACACTAGTATCTCCCACTTGTTGCCAGTTGCCGTTACGTGGCATCAACACAGTCACGGAGTCAAAACATTTCGAAGCTAGAAACGTGACGCGTGTAATACTCAAGACTCCCAACGGTCCAGATCCAATCCCAGACCAAGCGGCGCTCTCGTAGTATATAAGCGGTCTCAAGGCACTGCAATTACACGTACAGCATCGTCAGCTTGTTGAAATTGAATCGCGATCCTGTACTTTACAATGTCAAAATCTAAGGTGTTCTTCGACATTGCGATCGGTGGGTCCCCCGCGGGACGGATCGTGATGGAGCTCTACGCCGACATGACGCCGCGAACGGCGGAGAACTTCCGAGCCCTTTGCACCGGAGAGAAGGGAACCGGACGGAGCGGGAAGCCGCTGCACTACAAGGGCTCGACTTTCCACCGAATCATCCCCGGGTTCATGTGCCAAGGCGGAGATTTCACGGCCGGGAACGGCACCGGCGGCGAGTCGATCTACGGCTCAAAGTTCCCGGACGAGAACTTCATAAAGAAGCACACTGGGCCGGGGGTTCTGTCCATGGCCACGCTGGGCCCGGGACCAATGGGTCCCAGTTCTTCATATGTACGGGCGAGACGCCGTGGCTGGACGGCAAGCACGTGGTGTTCGGCAAAGTTGTGGAGGGGATGGATGTGGTGAGGGCCATGGAAAAGGTTGGATCTTCCACTGGGAGGACATCTAGAACCGTTGAGATCTCTAACTCTGGTCAAATTTCTTGAAGAATCATGTATAGTATCAGTAGTACTTCCTAAGCTCTGCTGTATATGATCAACAACGAGTCGACCGTCCCAAGTGTACTTAATTGGGTCGATCTATATATGCTTGTGTCAAATCGTCAATGTTTTATATTTTGCTTTTTTTTTTAATAATTATTTTATTTCGGTTATGTGGATAAAAAACCGGTACTATATATATGGCGGTATAGTTGAAGTGTATTTATAGTTTTGAATTTCGAGCGGTAATTGCGTCTCATAAAAAAATGCCAAAAAGAAGGCCGCAATTGAGTCGGGAATTGACTATGAGAAAATTAAAAACACGAGAAGAACACATAAATGCACTGCAACATTGACTATGATTTTTGCGCATCCATCATTAATGAAATCCTACTGCGTGGGCATTAGCACGGTGATAATATAGATGGGAACAAAAGTGGTTCTTCTAAGAAAGACGAAGGAATTATAAAAAGTTTTTCGGGAAGAAGAAGAAGACTTTAACTCTTACATAAACCGTTTATGTAAGGGTAAAAGTCTCTAAACGGCACATAGTCCACGTCTGCACGTATCTATTCAGTTCAGTATGTTATAACTGATCAATATATATAACTGAATTCCATCCTTACATAAATGGCACGCAGATTACACGTATTTATTCAGTTCAATATACACAACTTAATGACTAATTTACCACAACAAGATATATATATATATATATATATAT